TCGGTGCTGTCCAGTGGTGGATCCAGAGGGGGGACAGGGGGGCATGCCTCTCCCCCCCCCCCAATGCATGAAAATGCTTCTGGATTATGCATAGCTTCTCTGCGATTTATACTCCGTAAATTTTAAGCGAAGCTTTGACACCCCCCCCCCCCCAAATACATTTTGCTGGATCCACCACTGATGCCGTCTATCTTTTACAGCTAGACATATCCAGATTGACGTTGTTGATGGGATGGGCAGAAACAAAATAGACGGGCTAAAGGGACCAATCCATGCACATTCATCAAATACAATACATTTATTTGAAATAGATAATAAATACACATCCATTGACCTTTCCATCGTTGTTGTTTCTGTTAAATAATAAAACTGAAGATCAATTACATAATAATAAATTACATTTCTTCATGAATTGTCATCTCTACAACAATTATCGAGATGAAATGAAGGAAAATATTGAACTCACTAAAGAAATAGATAATAAACAAAAAACATTTATATTTCTGATGAGCAATAATAACCAAGATATAATTAAACAAGTAGGGAAGTATATTTACAGATCTTTTGAAATCATAAATGAAATTTCTTTATAAACTCGTTACTATACGTACTTATATATAACTTTCATTTACTACGTACCGGTTTTACTTTTATCTTATTATTAACTAACTCAACTTCATTTTATTACTTTATTGCTGTTGACTGATAGAAAAATTGTATTTCTAAGGATGCAATAAAGTTTATTATTATTATTTTTAAAAAAATCAATCAATTTTTGGATAAGTCATTTTTCTTTTCAGAATAAAATAAATTATAACAGCAGAAATAAAGATTAGAATAAAAACAGGAAACATGTTCCATACGTGAGGAACAACTGCTTTAATGTGTGACTTCAACACATTCAAAAGCTGATTTGATTTTAGATTCTCGGCACCCCAACTTTGTTTTGAGCTTCAAACTGCTGTAAACACTATTCCAAGCTCAAGTTAAAGCTCAGGGTGGCATGGCACCCATGTTTTCATGGAAAGGTAGATTTGGCTGGTGGATTTTTTTTTTTTTTATTTTTGTCCGCTGGTGAGTATGTTTCTTTCGCTTGTTTTAATGGGTGATTTCAACCCAGCTGATTTGATCTTAGATGCTCAGGTTGGAGCTCAGTGTTGCCACTCCAACTTCGTTTTGAGTTTTTGCTGTAAAAAATTTCCCAAGCTCAAGTTGAAGCTCAGGGTGGAGCTCAAGTTGGAGCTCAGGTTTACTCTGAGCAAGCTCAGGTTGAAGCTCAAGATTGCCATTACATACCTGCTTCAGAAGCTAAAGAACTTTGTTGTTCTCATGTATGACAGATTCAGTGCTGCTGCCGGTGTGAACAAGGCAAACAGAGGTCATATGACTCAATTCCGCCAACCAGAGCTGCCCTCATGGAACATGCAAAGCATGCTGCCTACCAGGTTGGAATCATCTGGGGTCAGGCAACAATTCAAAACCCTCAAATCAACAGCCCTGATGCCTGGGGATGGACATGGACAGGAGAGACATGGCAAGTCTGTTGGTCAACTCTTCCACCAGTTGCAAAAGTCTGTCAGGAACTGACCAAATGCTCTTGCAAGAAAGACTGCAACCGGAGATGCAAATGTTTTCGCTCAGGACTCTCCTGCACTGCTCTCTGTAGTTGCATGTGTGAGCAGTAAGGAATAGGACAAAATTCCTAATTATTTAAAGTTTGCATAATGCTATTACATGTAAAGACGCTAGTTTAAAGATGTTTTACTATTTGAATTGTTGTATTTTGTTATTATTATTGTTACTGTTATTATTGTTAAGGTTGTAAAACTAGGGAAAAGGGAATTGAGCATGTTATAAACCATAGCCATTGACATGTAATGTTCACTTAATTGAAATGTTATTGGCACACTTTAACATAATTTTACATAAATAATATGTAATATGGTCAGTAATTGTTTTTTCTTTTTGGTGTCATTATTTCAGTCGACTGATCCTTTAAAAGTTTACTATGTTATAAAGTAACAAACCTTAAAAATAAAAAAAAATAAAATAAATTGAATATGTGTATTCTGTTATTAATTTGTCATTTTCTGGTACAACTGGTACTCTGAAGATTGTAAAGCTAGAAAAATTTAATTCAGCATATCGAAAACCATATATATTGACACCAAGATCACTCCAATTGACCAAGTACATTCCTGTAAGTACGAAAAACCCTTATCTGGAGTCCCATCTGGCGGCCATCTTGAAAAATGGCCGCCATCTTGGAATTTTGAGTGGCCAATCGGGTGGATTTTTTAAGTATCCCCTTACAAGTCACTATGCCAAATTTGGTACTTTTATCACCATTTGCACAATTTTTCTCTTATCTGCCCCACTATGTATGGTGACATCATGTCAAGATCCCATTCAAGTCTCATCTCGTAGGATAGGGAGACTGATGCTACGACCTTCAAACATGAAATAGGCGGTTTGTAATAATCAATAAAACATGAATTACCACATTCATAGTGAAAAAATTTAATACATCGAAAATGTACAGAAAATAAGGTTATCGTAATCAGTCATATCATAAGCAGCTATTTTGATCCACCTGGACATCCCAGTATCCTAATTACCTAGGGCATGCGCATTCGCATTTTTCTGAGTTAGGATGCTTATGCGAGAGCGAGATTGAATCGGAATCTTGGTATCATGTCACCGTAGTTCCAAACCCCAAGTAATGTACTTGGTATTATAAATATGTTGATATTAATGAAACAGATTATAGGCAATGCTATTGCAGCAGATCGCGAGCCTGTATTGATCAGCGAGTGACACTTTCTTATGCTGGTTGGCAAAAATGTAAACATATGACGTAACAGTGCGACTGCCTATAGGTTGTTCAAGTAGCGTACTTTGTAAATTTAGAGAATATCTGAATCACAATTCAAATTTTAACACAATTTACCCCTGTTGCTAACTTGATTATTATTATGACTATATTGATTAAATATTAATAAATAATGATTAATTAAAATATTACTATTAAATATTTTTATCCAAACACATCAATATTAGGTAAAACTCGGATATCAGGGATTTTATGTTTTCCTCATTAGTCATCAAATGTGTAACTTGTTTTCACTTTTTTTTGTTATATCCCATATTGGGCATATTGAGTGTTTTTAATCTATATTTATTAATAATATTTTTTAATAATGTGCATGTGTTTTGGCTTTAAGCAATATACATCATACAAAAACATAGTTCGATGTTTATTTACCCTTCATCCTGCCAGCTCCAAGCAATTTTACATTGACTTGACCTGACCAGATGAGGATTAAATACTGTGGAATACTTTATTTTCGCTGGAATTAATTTTCGCTGAAAGGGCTTTTTTGGCGTTCTTTATGGAATTTATTTTCACTGATTTTTGATGAGTTTAATGTGAAATATAGAAAAAGTATATTAGCTGGATTTTATTTTCACGGAATCATCTCTTCAGCAAAAATAGCGAAAATAAATTCCAAGCGAAAATAAAGTATTCTACAGTATATATTTCAACCTTTGATCAAATTCAGTGGAGGAAACCATTTTGGTTTATTTTTTGTTTACACTAGTACATTCGCTCGATAATATTGATAATGTCTGTTGTTCCTGGTAGACTGCTATGGAACATGTGGTGTCGTCACATTTTTTGAATTTTCTTAATTGTTTATATGGTGATTTTTAACTTCATTATTTTTATTATTGTAAAAATAAATTATTTTTAAAGTTTACACATTCTTCAAGCTTTATTTAGTAATATTTAATTATGCATTCATTTTTACATTACACCAGGATAAACTGAAGTATTGCATTGACCAATCAGTTGGCCATAGACTAGAATCAGCAGGTTGTCACCTGACATTATAAACCAAAGGTGATTGGATAATACAGCCAATGACTGTACAAGTATCAACAGCTCTATAAACAAGTCATATCAGGTGATGATCTTGTTATTGCATGATTAACTCCAAATGTCAAAATGACAGAGAAATCTTACGTACTACTCCGAAAAATAAATCTAATTATGTGTGACGTTGGTGGACACACATCTGCAGTAATGACTGCTGATGGTTTTAGTATACCAGGGGATTATATAATAATTATCATATAAGCAACAGTGATATTCTGCAGTATCCACACCATGCGATACCTCATTCAGACCTAGTTTTTTTTTTTGACTGGCTTTAATGACTTAAATCTAACTTCACCACTACTATAACTACTACATTTAGTAAACATAGGTTGGTTTATCACTATTATTTAATGGCTACTATTAAAACAGATGATGACATTTCCTTGATTTCTACGAAATGGTTTTATTCTACAACTGTCGTTTACACAACCCAGTTACCGGTACACGTATATGGTTTAAGTTACCAGACTACTTTTTCGTGGAAAACACAGGTCAAACATACATGAATTCATTCAGTTAACTATGGTGAATATATCATATGAAGTTATAGGAATATATGGCGAGTACTTATGCTTGTCTAGAATTATTGGGAAATTCCCATTGAATGCTATTTGTTTTCTAGGAAATAATGTTTTAATATACACATTACAGGTGAAAGTGTCAAAATCTCAGTACTCGTACTGAAACAAAAATCTTATGATAAGTTATTTTTCCTATTTATTAGGCGAAATGCCTGCGAACGAATTAAAAAAAATTGTACCGCTCATGTAGGCTGAGGGTGTGTAGAGAGGCGTGTTCTCATAGCTATTACGTGATTGGTGGCTCAGATACACGCAATGTTGTCTGTGACGCAGAGTGTTCTACCGGACAGGAAATGCCACCAGCATTGAAAAAAACAAACATTATGGACACGTCACAATCATCACATGTTCAAGTTGATAATCGAAGCTTTCGATGAAAAAAGTTATAGTAACTACAAAGCCCCGAATAATCCAGCACATGTCTGAAACATTGCCCACTAAAACAACTTGCGAACTAACCAAAAAACCAAACTCACCTCCAAGGCAACCACCGATAAAATCCAACGCCATGTCTTTGACTTGATCTTGGCGGCAACGACAATACAGCCTAATCTAAGAAACTGTACTTCATGTAGATAACCAAATATGATATACCATGTACAGAGGTTACTGATGGTACACTGATATAATTCATAAAACAACCGGTGACGATTTTTCTCAGACGGTCGTAATGTGTTCTACCTGGAACGCAGATCGACTATTTTTAAAATTTGGAATGTCCTAGCACCGCCGAAATATATTTAGCGTGAAAACGAAATTGAAATTCGCGGACTGCGATATTGTCAAAATAAGATTAATTTAGACAGCGGATGAATACATCTGTTGACCTCCGTCTGTGTACCACGTTGATCATCTGTACTGTGCGTGCTGTAAACGGGTATAATTTATGATAATTAGGTACCACTTGGTGGCGTCCTATTTTGGAATTTGTAAACATGATCAAGTGCGTCATTACCAACATCACGTGAAATCTACGTCAATGCTCGGCTGGCTTACAAGACGTCATAATTTGTTGCCAACAATTAAAAGAACTATCAATCTAAAATCCGTACTTGTCAAAAGTGACAGGGACAAATATTAATCTCATTTTGGCAGAAATAAAATAATAACAGGAATTTACATGTAATATATAGACTCGAGCATAATGCCTGCTTAAAGCGAGGCTCCGCAATGCAATCCCAGGGATTGCACCAGTGTGTCATAGGAAATGTAATTTGCAGGGTCCGCCCAGTTGTTTACTTGGTACACAGTTGCTATAATTTCAACCGTGGTCCATTGATTACTGGATTTGTGTACCCGCAGTTTCTTTATAACACAGGGTTCTGGGACATCTGATACACGAGAAATCAATAATATATAGGCTGTCGCAACACCTTCATTTGAGAGTGTTATATGATGTTGTTGTTTTTTTAAATTTCGCACACAAAGTATGGTCTGTTGTACTATACATCACACGAATATATATAGCGTTCTATGGAGAACAACTTACTGTAAAGGGAATAAAACAGGATGGGGAAAATTGTAATGATGGAAAGGCGGATATCTATCACTTTTTATTTTATTTTTTGCAAATCAATTAACCACTTGAGGATCATGGTACGTGCGGTGGATGTTATCGCGGTCAGTGAACCCACTAAATCCACTGCACTCTCTGTTTGTCCTTCCCAATAATCGAATGACGTAACATTTTTGAAGAAGAAGGAAGTCATTATAATTTTGACGAATCGGAGCCATGATTTCAACAGAAAAGAGAAAACGGGGTAACAGGGAAAAGTTACTGGATACTGGCACATTCAAGGAAAATACAATTTTGTACCAGTCATATTCTTCCCCTCTTCAAATGTCTGACTCCTAAATAACAGCCAATTCTTCTACCCGCCTCATTTATTATATAGTGTGGCCCCTTCATCTAAGCACGGTATGGCCATATTGATGGAAAGCTCCATTTATCACATTTATCTGCGTTTCGCATCTATTCAATACGTAAGTTAGTATATAGGTATATCGAGTGAACGATAATTTATAAAAGTACTTAAAATGCTTTTAATTTTTGGGTAATGTAATCACCGACATAAGTAATCGCCTTTATCATCGGGCAGCTAATAATAAAATGAATATTTCTTTGTTTCATCAATTTAAAGACACAACCAGATGCTGAGGATACCCTTAGTTATCTAAGAATTATTAAGTGTTGTTCTAAACTAAGTTGTATTTACTGTTGACAAAACCACTTCTACTGTTCAATAAAACATCAACATTGAAACCTGGCGATATGCCAGCACATTCTATTCATCCACTAATCACGTTTCCTCACAATGTCGTGTATTAACACACTGGTCACGGTATGATAGTTATTTTTGGAAGACTTAGTGCGTTCACTCAAAATATTCGGGTACCCCTTAGAAAATAACACTAGCTGTATTATCCCCGGCGCAATGCTATGTAGGAAAATTTGTGATGACTTAACCCGGAGAAACGAAGAGCTATTGGTGAAGCGTACGGACGTTAATTTGCGCCAACTATAATGGACCTACTTCCTGCGCAAACAATGTTAACTTTTAAGTCTGCCACCTCGTAACATCTAAAAGTTTGTTTATTAATTGTTCATTGCTACTGTGAAATAATGTCCTAAATAAGTATAAACTACTTCTACAGTTTTATTACGTGAATAGAAGTATTCTTTGGTAATTGTTTTATTGTCATACATGTAAGAACTAATACTTGAGAAAATACCAACCAGGAGAATCAGATTACCCATGGAATGGAAAATACCAACCAGGAGAATCAGATTACCCATGGAATGGAGAACAGACGCTTATTAACAAACTGGAAATGGTTTCCATAGATATACACATAGAAGACATCAAAATAATGCCTAACAAACACTTAATTGATTGACTACATCTAAACATTCATGAAACAACAACAAATACATGTACTATGGAAGGCACATTCAGTCCACTATAATAAAGAGCTAAGCAAATAACACCAAATAAAAGTACCTAATCGCTTTGCTTCACTACTAACGTCACTACACGTCTTCCCCTTGGCCACCGGGCACCCCCCAAAACGGATGCTTAATAACCGAGCTTATTACGTGCAAATCCACGCCACGCAGCGTACGCGAGCGCCGGTTTGGGTCACGCATGCAGTACGTGTTTACTTTGATTTGACGTAGTATTTATCATGCCGTTTATTCGGTGGTATTTGCTTACTTTACTGTCTATGTCAGCAGCAACTATGAGTTTACAATTATTTCACAGTACTTATTCACTCTTAAGAGCTACCTGATACATATTCAACCCCCGGCGTTATACCAGCTAGAGGATCAACTAGATCATGGAAGATCCACACGAGATAACAGACTGGCAAAACAAAAAAACACCTGGCATCAGTATCACAAATTCTGATACAACTTATACGAGGATCATATGGAGGATTAGTGAACAGGAAGACAAACAAACTAATAGCATGATTATCGCTTATCACTTTTTTATCAAAGATCATGCACAGTTTCGAAATTAGTAATGTGTTACACAAAATCATCACAAAGTGAAACACAGCCTGCTACGAAAAGAGCATTATCGTTGTCATATTCAAAGTGTTAAAAGGAAACCAGGAAAAGATAACTTTACAAAGAATATAACATGTCATGATATGATATGATATGATATGATATATGATATGACACGATATGACACGATATGACACGATATGACACGATATGACACGATATGACA